GTTGTAGGCAATGTTCCCTCTAATTTTTTTTCAGTGTGAGCGGAAAAGTATAGTGTTTGAGTGGCACATTTTCATGCCTGGCATTCATCAGGCTGAAACCTCGCTCGAAATCGGCGCTTGACTCTTGGAATGTTGCGCAAATGTCCAGCAGACGTGACAGCAGTTCAAACTGTTGCTCTCTTAGGTGCTCAGGCATGAAACTGTGCAGCTCAAACACTATACTTTCCCGCTCACACTGAAAAAAAATTAGAGGGAACATTGGTTCTGACCCATGTCTTGTGTTTTTTTCAGGCTGATTGTTAGTCCAAAGTCTTGGCAGGTCTTGCTAAAACAGTCCATAAGTTGTTGAGGATCTTTGGCAGAGTGAGAAGTAATGGCAGCATCGTCAGTGAAGAGGAAATCCCGTAAGCATTTCAGCTGGACTTTAGACTTTGCTCTCAATCTAGAGAGATTAAAGAGTTTTCCGTCTGATCTGGTCCAGAGATAAATACCCTTGCAGTTCCAAAAGCATGTTTCACTATGTTAGCAAAAAAGATCCTGAATATAGTTGGTGTGAGGACGCAGCCCTGCTTCACTCCACTTCGAATATCAAAGGAATCTAATGTTAAGCTATCAAAGACTACAGTGCCCTTCATTTCCTCATGAAAGGACCTGATGATGTTGAGGAGCTGTGGTGGACATCCAATCTTGGGGAGAATTTTATACAGGCCGTCCCTACTAACCAAGTCAAAGGCCTTTGTAAGATCTATGAAGGCTATGAAAAGTGACTGTCTTTGTTCCCTGCATTTCTCCTGCAACTGTCTAAGGGAAAATAGCATGTCAGTAGTAGACTTGTTGGCTTGGAATCCACACTGTGAATCTGGATAGAGCACCTGGAGCCTCTTCAGTATGACACGGGAAAGCAGCTTCCCTACAACGCTAAGAAAAGAGATGCCATGGTAGTTGTTACAGTCATCCGTTGCCTTTGTTCTTATACAGTGTGGTGATATTTGCATCCTTCATGTGCTGCAGTACTCCACCTTCCCTCCAACAAAGACAGAAGATTTCATGTAGTTCAGTGGGAATGTTCTCTTTGCAGCACTTCAGAACTTTGGCAGTGATGTTATCTTTCCCGGGTGCTTTTCCGGAGGCAAGGGAATCCAGGGCCGCATTTAGTTCTTCTAAAGTTGGTTCACTATCAACATAGGCAGGCACTCAATGTTATTTAATGCTTCTTCAGTTACCACATTTTCTCTGGAATATAACTCAGAGTAATGCTGCACTCAGCGTGCCATCTGCTGTGCTCAGTCCTGGATAACCTCATCTGTAGCAGACTTCAGAGGGGCAGATTTCTTCTGTGTTGGGCCTAAGGCCTGCTTGATGCCATCATACATTCCCTTGATGTTGCCTGTGTCAATTGCTATCTGGATCTGAGAGCAAAGCGACAGCCAATAATCATTAGCACATCTCCTGGCAGTCTGTTGGACTTTGCTACAAGCAGCTCACAGAACCTGTAGGTTGCACTCACTGAAACAGGCTTTATATGTAATTAGAGCTCTCCTTTTTTCTTCGATGGCTGGCGTCAGCTCCTCCGAACGGGCTTCAAATCAACCTGCTGTCTTTCTGGTCTCTTATCAAATACTGATAAGGCAGTGTTATAAACCAAATTCTTGAAATATCCCCATCATTGAGATGCATTTGCTTCAGCCGGGCCTTGGAGAGTTTCCTCGAGTGCTTGTGCAAATTCCTCCACTTTGCCCTGATTGTGGGTCTTGCTGATGTCGATTCATGGTCTTCCTTCCTTCGAGTGATGCAATCTCTTTGTTTGCAGTTTTATTCTGCTGCACACCAAGGAGTGGCCTGTATCGCAGTCAGCACCCTGATAGCTGTGTGTGATTGTAATACTGGGAAGGTTGGAGCACCTGGTAAGGATCAAGTCGAGCTGGTGCCAATGTTTTGATCTTGGATGTCTCCAAGAGATTCTGTGTTGAGACTTTGTTTTAAAGAATGTATTGCTGACGCAAAAAAGGTAGTAGCAGAAAAACTCCAGCAGGCTTTGGCCATTTACATTCATCTTCCCAATGCCAAACTGACCTAAACAAGTAGGCCAAGAACTATAATCAGCTCCAACTCTGGCATTAAAATTGCCAAGGATAAACAGTGATTCTTTCTCAGGGATTTTGTTGATAGTAGCAGCCAGATTGTTGTAGAATTTGTCTTTGGATTCTACTGAAGATGATAGTCTGACAGCCTTGTCTCTTGGAGGGCAATGATGTCCATCTACAGTCTGCTCAGCTCCATGTCAATGACAGCTGTCTTATGTATGTCATCTATTTCTTGCAAATCGTCGGAAAGGCCGGGGGTCATTTTTCGAACATTCCAAGTGCCCAGCTTTAGGGCTAAAGTTTTCTTATAGTTGTTGCATGGTGCAGAGTTATTGATCTGCTTGTCTTTGACCCTAAACCCCGCGCACCCTGTGAGGTTAGCAGACTGTAGCAGGGCAGCACCTTACTGGCTGGGGGCTGCCCAGCTTAAGGTTGGCGGTAGCTGCCCAATGAGGTACAATGACCTTTCCCACCATCGAAAGTGGCTCCTGGCATCCTACTCTACACCAATCAATGAAGACTTATAACTGGTAACTGCCACTTTGTGTCGTTTCAATGCTGTATGCAAAGCATGAGGCCTGGGTAGATTAATTGGGAGGACAGAATATTAACCAAGCAGCAGATCCCCTCTCCACATCGCTGAAATAGTCCAATGGAATGGCAGAGCTGATACAATTGGTTCCAGCTTTGCCACAGGAGTTACCAGAACATGATTGTACACCGTCACAAACTGCTTCCAGGACTCCGGCTCCGGATTACTGTACTATGTATTGTACTAACTGTACTATGGAAGGAAATTACACCATGAAATCTTTCCAGAGAAACAGTGACATCTGATCTGTACAAAGTTATCCATTGATTCAAAACAAGAGTTGAATATGAACTTCACCCCTCTCAAAACTCATGCTGCTATCAAATCCTGGGAGAAAGACTTCCTCATTTTCAGAAGCATAGTGATATTTAATTATTTTTATAAAGTATCAGCTTATTTTTGGAGCAGTCATGACTTTTTATTCAAAAACAAAGGTTTTGATCTCATAATATCAGGTGACAATTCAATAGACTTTTATAATGGTGATGAGCTCACAGCAACTGCTTATGCAATCATGTGAAAAAGTAAGCAATATCCATTGGAATTTTTGACTTTTGATCTTACTTAATTTGATCTTAATTTCAACAATAGTGATAAGTAAAGGGGATATAATACAGCAAATATCGTGCATCATTTATTTTATAATCCTTTGTGTAATTTAAATAAATGTATTACTTTTGTTTAGTATTATTCATGCACAGTAGTGCCTAAATAATATAAACTGTATCTATTCCTATGCAAGTCGTACTCGATATGTGATGATGCTTTATTATCTATCTTCACACACATCATTCTAAACTGTAAGACTTAGCAGCCAACAACTTCAGCAGTAAACAGGCCCACTCACATATGGTGAGTCTGTCCATGAGAGACTATGATTAATGAGCTGTCTGTGGCTAGATGAGCTTAATGTGAGATGTAAACATGAGATTCTAGGTTTATTTTCCTAGAGTAAAACAAGAAGAAACTATGGTTTGGTATTCATTTTTAGCTGCTTTGTTTCTGTTTTTTGGGGGTGGGGGTGGGGGACAAAACCAATTCCTTGTTCACACATCTTGTTTAACTAATCAAGCCACAGATTTCCACTTACAGGAAGAACCAGAAGGCATATTTGCCCATAAACTGTTTTCGGGATTACATAAAAAAAGATTACGACCTGAAACCTAACTTTACATTTTAAGCTTGCAAATCGATGTTTCTGTATCTCACTTACATTTTTTCTATATATTTGCATTTTTTATTCTTTAATGCAATTTCCCATATACAATAGTTTCCCAGCTTCCACATGCTCTTCTTTAAAGAATGCTCAAGTAAGATACTAACCTTTATGCAAGAATGGACTTTTTTTTTTAATGGATTGATGTATTCAGATTGGGGTTGTTTAATTGTAGCTTTTATTTTTGTCAGTTGCTGATATTTTAATTTTGTTGACTTCGTAAGTTTCTCTTGGGACTGAGTGGAGAAAAATACTTGCCTACAGTATTACATTTTAACTTCTTTTTGTTGAGACTTCCTACTGTATACTTGGTTCTTTCTGGATATGGTCAGATAGTATTTAATTTACAGAGTGGATTGTTTTTACCAAGGCAAGGAAATGCCTTCTGGTAGCTCCAAAAGAATAGCAGCTACATTTGTCCATCCTTGGGTATGTGGCTCTTATGATGAAAGGGGATATTGTAGCTACTGCTTCTGGTATTCTAGCAAACTACTAATGCAATAAATAACTAAATTTATGAAATGATGCTTAATTTCAAGCATTGGTTTCATCCCACATACTGTTCTCCCTCAACTAAATGGTTCAGGAAGATTCCCTTTTTTCCTGTTAGGCAAGGATGTTGCCAGAGAAATTCTGCCAGAACTGATGACTTCCACCAGGTAATTGAAGTGCATGCACCTACACCATGTGAGTGAAACACTTCTGAATGTTTTCCTTATGTGTATGCTAAAAACTTTGTTAATTTAGTTCATGACATATGGAAGCTTATACAGAGGCTCATTTTCCTAGCTATTCCAAAGTGCTTTCCTCCCAGTCCAACCGCTGGTCACTCTATGAGGCTGATATTCTCCTGACTAAACTGCCCCCTCCCAAAAGGAAGTAGTTGCAGTTGAGTATCTGCTGTCTCCTGTAGTCCAAGCACAAATGGCCACAGAAGCATTCAGCTGAGTAGCCAGATGGGAGGGGATAATCTTTTTGAGCTCAGCAGGTAACTAACCTCCAAAGTCCTTCTCCATGCAAATTACAATGCCTGCATTTGAGATTTTTCTCACATATTTCCAGGAAAAACACTATTTTCAAGCCAGAACACCTTAGATAGGCTTCAGTCTGCCTAGCAGTGGGCTGTTATGAAATGAAGGCTCCATTGGGAAGACATGAACTCAATAAATTTAAATTGTGACATCCTTGAGCAGGAGGCTCTGTGGATGAGTCCATAAAGTGGCAGAAAATTCTCCATTCTGAACAAAAGCAAGATGAATATGGATATGGATAAGGATGTGTGCATATATGTAAGCATCAAATTTTGTATATATAAATATTGAAATCATTATATAAGAACTCTTTTCCTAATAGAAGCCAAATATAATCTACTAAAACTGCAATATTCCTCAAAAAGATCTTATGACACAGTTTGCAATTTTTTTCCAAATCAGAATTTTATATATGCAATAGCTTGAAATACTATTTTCAAAAACAGCTGAAAAAAGGAAGGTAAGTGGAGGTAGAGGAAACTGTCTCCAAAACAGCCATACAATTATTATGGTTAAATTATTATGTTTTTCTTTCTTTTCTTAGATTTCAAAAAATTATAGTTCAAAGAAGAAGAATGGTAGTGATTGGGAAATTGGGCTTCTTTAGAACCTCTGAAAAACACACTCCAGAAAAATATGAGAGAAAGAGAAGCCACTAATTGTTTCTCAGAAAAAGTAATCACAATGTATTTTTCTTATTTAATCTTAGGGAATGAGATAATTTTTGCAGCTGTTTTTAGAAAGTAGAATGGAAAAAGATCATATTGCTTTTTTAATTATTAGTTTATAATTATTGTTAGTCTTGTATTGTTACTTGGTCACTGGAACATCTATATTTTAATCTATTATTTCTCTAGAAATGTCAGTAAACAGCTGGCAAATCTTCTTTGGATTCGGGTGCCTTCATCAGTAAAAAAGATGCATTTCATATATATATTAGATTTTTACAACCCCTGGTAAGCCCCAATTATGGGAGGAAGCTAACTGCTTCCATCATCTGTCAATCGGCTCGTCACAAGAGTCCATCACGACAGAAACCCAATATTTTTACTGTTGCCTTTGTTATATTTGTGTTTTTTTATTTGTGCTGATAAATAAATAAAGGGAGACTAGTATAGATCTATTTCAAGCTATTTAGCTCTCATCAGCTAGCCACACCCTTACTGGGATTTGAACCTGGGCTATTTGGCATACTAGGCACACCAGGCAGAGATCTTAGCCATTAGGCCACAGGCTCTTATCCTGTTATCAGCGAAGCCAGGGTGAAAGGTATCTATTAGATTTTTACAACCCCTGGTAAGCCCCAATTATGGGAGGAAGCTAACTGCTCTCCCTTTATTTATTTATCAGCACAAATAAACACACACACACACACACACACATATATACATACATACATACATACATACATACATACATATATATATTTGTGTGTGTGTGTGTGTATGTGCATATGTATATGTATATATATATATATATATGTGTGTGTGTGTATCTAAATTTGGCAGGACAGTACTGAAAAGAATAGCATAGGCAAATATTTAGTGCAATAGATTTTTATGAATTTATATTAATCTAGAATGCAAACAATCTAAAATATAGTATTATAGTAATTTGTTAATTAGTCCTGTATTTTTTTTTACTTTTTAACATTATGAGGAGCAAGGAACTGCTTTATATTACAAAATTCTACTCCATTAAAAGGCAAGTCAAGCCAGAAATACAAAATCACCAAGGATCTAAGTTTGAAGTAAGACAAATGTTCAAAAAAAAGGAAGGAGAAAAGAAGGTCTACAGTTAGTAAACTAAAATTCCTATAGTTCTCAACAATTTCCTGCAGTCTGTTCAATGATCAGTTCAACCTAATGGACATAAATTAAGTTTGCTCACAGGTAAGCAGTTAGAGTATAGGAGCTTTAAAAAAGCTTCAGTGCATATTTAATATCAAGGCTGCCTACACTTTGAAAATGATTAGAACTGCTTTGCATCTAGCACTGAGTTCAACATTTCTTCATAATTCAACAAAATGGACTTTCTTCAGGCTTCTGAATGAGCTTGAAAAAAACTAGGACTTCTTTAAGTATTGTATTAAGTTTAGGCAGTAGACTTTAAAAAGCATCCTTTTTCAAGTTCATACTAAAACTTGAAGGGGCTGTGCAGAATACTGCTGGGTACAAAGCACTGTTAAAGTGAGCACAGCCCTAATTACCGAGGTAATGCCCAGGTTGGGGAGAAACAATTATAAGAAGGGTAATACCAAAGATAGTCCAATGCCGTGTGGTTACATACATAATTAAGGGTATCACCACAATAAACTCTTAATCCAGATAAAATATTGCTGGGGAATATTCTACTCTAATTTAGGATATACGAAAATATCCACACTCCTACTATTTTCTATGAAAATTAGATGTGATAGAAAATAAAAGCTGTTTTCAAAACCAGAACTAATTCCAGTGATTCAGCACCAAAATAAAAAAAGATTGTATTGAAGAAGAAAAAATATCTTAAGAGAATTGCCCAAATAATTTTAACATACTTAATAACACATTAAATAAAGCTCAAAGCTCAGGCCATTGCATAAGGGTAAAATACATCTCCCTTCACTCCTCATACTATAGTAATGTATGATAACACTTTAGTAAACTATGAGGGAATGAAAATTATACCATGACAAGTGACTGAAAAAAGCTTTAACACATATATGACACTTGAATAATTTAGACTCATTAATGTGTAAAATTGATTTACTAAAGAACGGTCTCATTGTTATACTTTAGTAGACAACCCATTCCCTCTTGGGTTATTACTTCAAAGATACTTCCTTACCTAAGCAGAAAAACAGTTGGAGCAAAAGCAATTTATTACTTCCTGCTGGCTTCCCCATTGAGTTTCCTCGTGGAAACAGGTAGGGAGCATCAGAAATCTTCCCTTCCCTTCCTTCCCATTCTCATTCTCCTTTCCCTCCCCTTCCCAGCAGGCAAGTAAATGGCTGCTGCTGGGTGGGGGAGAGAGCAAAAGATTTCGAGACAGGCTGGGAAACTGTCATGGAAAGTTGCAAATGAAGATTACATGAGTGCAGTAGCAGTGAAGCAGCTAGTAGCCCTGAAGTAGTCACAACTTCCCCAAATTTAGAAGACAATAGAGCTAGAAGGAACCTTGGAGGTCTTGTAGTCCAGCCTCCTGCTCAAGCAGGAGAACTTATACCATTGCAGACAAGTGACTAACTAGTTGTCTCTTCTTAAAAACATCCAATGATGGAGCACCCACGATTTCTGAAGGCAAGCTGTTCCGCTGGTTAATTGTCCTCACTGTTAGGAAGTTTCTCCTTAATTCCACGTTACTTCTCTCTTTGCTTAGTTTCCAAACATTGTTTCTTGTCCTGCCCTCCGGTGCTCTGGAGAATAATTTGACCCTCCTCTTCTTTGTGGCAACCCCTCAAATATTTGAATACTGCTATCATGTCACCCCTAATTCTCCTTTTCTTTAGACTAATCAAACCCAAAACCTGAAGCTGTTCTTCATATAGTTTAGTCTTCAGGTCTCTGATCATCTTAGTTGCTCTTCTTTGAACTTTTTCCAAAGTCTCAACATCTTTTTTGCAAGATGGCGATCAAAATTGGTTGCAGTATTCCAGGTGGGGGGGTCTCGCTCAGGGGTGGGCTGCTGCTGATGTTACTGCCAGTTCACAACCTGTGTGCGTCAGATGCGCGCTGCCCACACATGCACTCTTCAATGTAAGTTGTTCTGCATGCATGCGCACAACAATTTACAGTGAAGTGCACATGTGCAGTACCCAAAAATCCAAACTGGTGGCAGCCAAGTGGTGGTCTTGATTTTGTGCCTCTGTTTATACAACCCAGGATTGTATTAGCTTTTTCGGCTGCTGCTGCACACTACTGTCTCACATTCAAGTGATCATCCATTAAGACTCCAAGGTCCCTCTCACAGTTACTGTTTTTGAGCTGGGTGTCACCTAATCAGTACTTATACCTTTGATTTTTCCTGCCTAAATGTACAACTTTGCTTTTCTCCACATTAAAATTCATTTTCTTGGATTGGGCCCATTGTTCAATTTTGTCAAGATCTTTTTGGATCCTGAGCTTGTCTTCTGGGGTGTTGCTTATTCCTGCCAGTTTAGTATCATCTGCAGATTTGATGAGTTCCCTTTCTATTTCCTCATCTAAGTCATTAATGAAGATATTGAAAAATACTGGGCCTAAGACGGAGCCTTGTGGTACCTCACTGCTTACTTCTTTCCATGTGGATGTAGTACCATTAAGGACTACTCTTTGAGTATGGTTTGTCAGCCAGTTACAAATCCATCTGGTGGTGATGTTGTCTATTCCACATTTTTCTAGCTTACCAAGAAGTAAATTGTGGTTTGTCAAATGCCTTATTAAAATCTAGGTATACTATGTCCACAGCATTTCACTGATCTACTAATTTAGTGACTTTATCAAAGAATGAAATAAGATTGGTTTGGCATGATCTGTTTTTAACAAGCCCATGATAGCTACTGGTTATAACTTTATTTGCTTCTAATTGTTCGCAGATATATTTTTTAAATTATCTTTTCCAGGATCTTCCCAGGTATTGATGTTAGACTGATTGGTCTATAGTTTTCCCCTTTCTTGAAGGTGGGAACCACATCAG